TATTTTACTTTTTATTATTTTTTTAATCCTTGTTCTATTGCTAACTTAATATATGTTAGTGTAAACTTATTATCTGACATTTATAAGTGGAAACAAGTGGCGTTCTGCTGTTTGGTGATGTCGGCTTTTCGGCAGTAGCCTGGAACCTAAACTTCCGTATAAAGTGGGGCCCTACTATATAACCTTATTGCAACCCAAGAGCATGAATTTCAGTGATTGAATATATTAATTCATGAATTTAGAAAGCATTCTTATGGCGTACATGTATAACTCTTTCAAGGATCTCTTGCCATAAAGATTATTGAGGAAGGTGGCCTTTGATGCAGTCTTCACATTGTTGATAAAGGCTTATGCTTTGACAGATTTTTAACACTCACAGTATTCTTGTAGCTGAAAATTTATGGGTTGTGTATATAATATATTCATAAACTACATGAGGAATTTTTTTCTGTAGTTAGAAATAGATAACATTAAAAAATATTTAAAAGAGTGCATTACATAGGTGTACAATTCAGAGCATAGAAACTAAAAAATGTAGTTCAGAGCACTGAGAAAAGGTTGTTGAGGCAGTTTGGGCATGTAGATATGTTGGAAAGGGATTGATTGGTGATGAAGGTGTATAAAGCTTGGGTGGAAGGTATGAAGGGTCCTGGCCATCCCTGAAATGGTGGGAAGGAAGGGGTACATGAGGCTCTGAGTTTTAGGGGTTTGGGCATCAAGCAGGCTTGTGTGAGTGTGTTAGATAGGAGTGAATGGAGACAGGCTGGTTTTTAATGGATGTGCTGTTGGAGTGTGATCAATGTAACCTTTATTAAGCAATTCAGGGAACCTGGTTAGTTGGACTTAATCCTGAGTGTGGGAAGGCAGTGGGTGCACTCTGAAGGCGGGGTAGGGATGCTACACTTGGAGGGTAATCTGAGTGAGACGTCAGCATATTTCTGGAAGGATGGTGATTGAATGAGTGATGATGAATGTGTTTTCCTCTTTGTGTCATCCTGCCTTGGCAAGAGATATTGACTGAATTAAAAAAAAAAAAGTATACATATAGGTAAATTGTATAATGGTTGTAATTTTTGCAGTCAGTCTTGTATATAATTTTAGGCAATATGATTTCACTTCTTGATTAGATTATATTGCAGTAGTTTGTGATTGATTTCAAATTGCTTTAAATGGTACATCATTAATATTTTAGTATTTATTTTTTTATTTTTTTTTTTATTATCACACTGGCCGATTCCCACCAAGGCAGGGTGGCCCGAAAAAGAAAAACTTTCACCATCATTCACTCCATCACTGTCTTGCCAGAAGGGTGCTTTACACTACAGTTTTTAAACTGCAAACATTAACACCCCTCCTTCAGAGTGCAGGCACTGTACTTCCCATCTCCAGGACTCAAGTCCGGCCTGCCGGTTTCCCTGAATCCCTTCATAAATGTTACTTTGCTCACACTCCAACAGCACGTCAAGTATTAAAAACCATTTGTCTCCATTCACTCCTATCAAACACGCTCACGCATGCCTGCTGGAAGTCCAAGCCCCTCGCACACAAAACCTCCTTTACCCCCTCCTCCAACCCTTCCTAGGCCGACCCCTACCCCGCCTTCCTTCCACTACAGACTGATACACTCTTGAAGTCATTCTGTTTCGCTCCATTCTCTCTACAATGTCCGAACCACCTCAACAACCCTTCCTCAGCCCTCGGACAACAGTTTTGGTAATCCCCACCTCCTCCTAACTTCCAAACTACGAATTCTCTGCATTATATTCACACCACACATTGCCCTCAGACATGACATCTCCACTGCCTCCAGCCTTCTCCTCGCTGCAACATTCATCACCCACGCTTCACACCCATATAAGAGCGTTGGTAAAACTATACTCTCATACATTCCCCTCTTTGCCTCCAAGGACAAAGTTCTTTGTCTCCACAGACTCCTAAGTGCACCACTCACTCTTTTTCCCTCATCAATTCTATGATTCACCTCATCTTTCATAGACCCATCCGCTGACACGTCCACTCCCAAATATCTGAATACGTTCACCTCCTCCATACTCTCTCCCTCCAATCTGATATTCAATCTTTCATCACCTAATCTTTTTGTTATCCTCATAACCTTACTCTTTCCTGTATTCACCTTTAATTTTCTTCTTTTGCACACCCTACCAAATTCATCCACCAATCTCTGCAACTTCTCTTCAGAATCTCCCAAGAGCACAGTGTCATCAGCAAAGAGCAGCTGTGACAACTCCCACTTTGTGTGTGATTCTTTATCTTTTAACTCCACGCCTCTTGCCAAGACCCTCGCATTTACTTCTCTTACAACCCCATCTATAAATATATTAAACAACCACGGTGACATCACACATCCTTGTCTAAGGCCTACTTTTACTGGGAAAAATTTCCCTCTTTCCTACATACTCTAACTTGAGCCTCACTATCCTCGTAAAAACTCTTCACTGCTTTCAGTAACCTACCTCCTACACCATACACTTGCAACATCTGCCACATTGCCCCCCTATCCACCCTGTCATACGCCTTTTCCAAATCCATAAATGCCACAAAGACCTCTTTAGCCTTATCTAAATACTGTTCACTTATATGTTTCACTGTAAACACCTGGTCCACACACCCCCTACCTTTCCTAAAGCCTCCTTGTTCATCTGCTATCCTATTCTCCGTCTTACTCTTAATTCTTTCAATTATAACTCTACCATACACTTTACCAGGTACACTCAACAGACTTATCCCCCTATAATTTTTGCACTCTCTTTTTCCCCTTTGCCTTTATACAAAGGAACTATGCATGCTCTCTGCCAATCCCTAGGTACCTTACCCTCTTCCATACATTTATTAAACAATTGCACCAACCACTCCAAAACTATAATCCCCACCTGCTTTTAACATTTCTATCTTTATCCCATCAATCCCGGCTGCCTTACCCCCTTTCATTTTACCTACTGCCTCACGAACTTCCCCCACACCACAACTGGCTCTTCCTCACTCCTACAAGATGTTATTCCTCCTTGCCCTATACACGAAATCACAGCTTCCCTATCTTCATCAACATTTAACAATTCCTCAAAATATTCCTTCCATCTTCCCAATACCTCTAACTCTCCATTTAATAACTCTCCTCTCCTATTTTTAACTGACAAATCCATTTGTTCTCTAGGCTTTCTTAACTTGTTAATCTCACTCCAAAACTTTTTCTTATTTTCAACAAAATTTGTTGATAACATCTCACCCACTCTCTCATTTGCTCTCTTTTTACATTGCTTCACCACTCTCTTAACCTCTCTCTTTTTCTCCATATACTCTTCCCTCCTTGCATCACTTCTACTTTGTAAAAACTTCTCATATGCTAACTTTTTCTCCCTTACTACTCTCTTTACATCATCATTCCACCAATCGCTCCTCTTCCCTCCTGCACCCACTTTCCTGTAACCACAAACTTCTGCTGAACACTCTAACACTACATTTTTAAACCTACCCCATACCTCTTCGACCCCATTGCCTATGCTCTCATTAGCCCATCTATCCTCCAATAGCTGTTTATATCTTACCCTAACTGCCTCCTCTTTTAGTTTATAAACCTTCACCTCTCTCTTCCCTGATGCTTCTATTCTCCTTGTATCCCATCTACCTTTTACTCTCAGTGTAGCTACAACTAGAAAGTGATCTGATATATCTGTGGCCCCTCTATAAACATGTACATCCTGAAGTCTACTCAACAGTCTTTTATCTACCAATACATAATCCAACAAACTACTGTCATTTCGCCCTACATCATATCGTGTATACTTATTTATCCTCTTTTTCTTAAAATATGTATTACCTATAACTAAACCCCTTTCTATACAAAGTTCAATCAAAGGGCTCCCATTATCATTTACACCTGGCACCCCAAACTTACCTACCACACCCTCTCTAAAAGTTTCTCCTACTTTAGCATTCAAGTCCCCTACCACAATTACTCTCTCACTTTGTTCAAAGGCTCCTATACATTCACTTAACATCTCCCAAAATCTCTCTCTCTCCTCTGCATTCCTCTCTTCTCCAGGTGCATACACGCTTATTATGACCCACTTCTCGCATCCAACCTTTACTTTAATCCACATAATTCTTGAATTTACACATTCATATTCTCTTTTCTCCTTCCATAACTGATCATTTAACATTACTGCTACCCCTTCCTTTGCTCTAACTCTCTCAGATACTCCAGATTTAATCCCATTTATTTCCCCCCACTGAAACTCTCCTACCCCCTTCAGCTTTGTTTCGCTTAGGGCCAGGACATCCAACTTCTTTTCATTCATAACATCAGCAATCATCTGTTTCTTGTCATCCGCACTACATCCACGCACATTTAAGCAACCCAGTTTTATAAAGTTTTTCTTCTTCTCTTTTTTAGTAATTGTATACAGGAGAAGGAGTTACTAGCCCATTGCTCCCGGCATTTTAGTCGCCTCATACGACACGCATGGCTTACGGAGGAAAGATTCTTTTCCACTTCCCCATGGACAATAGAAGAAATAAAAAAGAACAAGAGCTATTTAGAAAAAGGAGAAAAACCTAGATGTATGTATATATATATATGCATGTGCGTGTCTGTGAAGTGTGACCAAAGTGTAAGTAGGAGTAGCAAGATATCCCTGTTATCTTAGCGTGTTTATGAGACAGAAAAAGAAACCAGCAATCCTACCATCATGCAAAACAATTACAGGTTTTTGTTTCACAGTCATCTGGCAGGACGGTAGTACTTCCCTGGGTGGTTGCTGTCTACCAACCTACTACCTAAATATTTTAGTAATGTTTAAATATTGAGGTTTGCAGATATTTAAGTGGTGAAATTCCCTCCTCCCCCCCCCCCCCCCAAAAAAAAAGTCAAATTAACAATGAACAATTTGGTTGGTATTCAGATCTATTGTGTGTGAATTTAAATTTCTTTACAGCACATATTTTAAAATATATTTGTTCTAATACATTGATTATATAAATAGTGAGCAAGAGGACCAAACAAAAGAGAGAGAAGACACATTGGAGCTTATCGATTCCATCATCACTCAGTCTCAGCTCATGTATTATGCTCAGCCACCCCCGGATCTTGCTGCCTTACCCCCAGATACAACTCTTACAACTAAGGGTGGCTACCTCAATGTCCAGAAGTAAGATAATTAGATTCCATGGCAAGTTTATAATATGTAGATTACATTATACTATTTGACAAAAAACAAACAGGCACCATATTGTGACCAGAACAATACACAAATAACCCGGACATAGGAGAGAGGAGTTTATGATGATGATGTTTCGGTCTGACTTGGACCATTTACAAGTCGCACTGTAAATGGTCCATGTTAGACCGAAACATTGTCATAAGCTTATCTGTCCTTTGTGCGGATTATTTGTGTATACTGCTTGACAGTAAGTGACTGGCTTGTCACAATGCCCATTAGTTAAAATGCTTTAGTTTGTTTGCAGGTTATCAGATTTTAAATTCAGGTGTTTAATCTAGTGTTGCAATTAAATATTTATGTACCCTTTAATTTTCAGAAGCAGTAATCATCTGTAATTACTTTGATTCATTACATTTTTGGTAGTGTTATAGGAATGTGTTCTCATTTCAGAAAGTACATGGGTGTTATGAGCTCTTGGGAAAGGCAGTTCGTATTCATCGAAGGAGGAAACCTTATGGGTGTGATGAAAGGGGAGCCAGCTGGATCACTTCTTCTTGAGATAGATTCTTCAACACTTGTTCATGCCACGGACACAGATGATCGACGACATGTTTTTCAGGTGGCCAATAGCAAAAAGTAGGTAGATTAATGTTCATTATGGAAGGGATTTACCTGCTTTGATGTTTCTTTTTATTCTGATGCATCTATTATTTGATTTGAGAAATGTGTTTTTATGCTTTTAACAATTATTGTATTTCTGGTCTCCTTTTGTCAGTTTTCTAGTCCGTATTTCCTCCATAATATTTTTTCTTTTTTAATAACTTGATCTTTGACATTGAATTGCATATTGAAGCTCTCCAGCCTAACAAGTTTGCATAAGTACACCTACCATCCGACTTACAACCGAGTTCGGTTCCGAGAAACTGGTCGTAAGTCGAAATGGTCGTAAGTCGAACTTTACTACTGAATATCAGCAAAACATTTTTGTAATGACTTTATTTTATTATTTTATTTTGGTATTTCATGTTTTACTTTACTTTTTATGTTGTTAGTACTGTATTTTATACTGTAAGGTTTAGGATAAACACTGTGTACAACACAAATAGTTGTTTATTTCCCAGAAATTTGGCATAAAAAACATGGTCGTAAGTTGAGTGGTCGTAAGTCAAGCAGGTCGTAAGTCGGATGGTAGGTGTGTTTATAAATTGTTAGCAACTAGATCTCTCGGAAATATTTTGAAATTTATAAAGAATCACTAAGGATATTGTGAAATTACTTCATGATACTATACCTCCAACTCTGACATAAGACCATAAGTATTAAGGAGCACTGCAGGAGGCCTACTGACCCATGTTGGGTAGTTCCTCAAATTTTACCCTTGTCACTCATAATTTGGCTTACCTATTTTTAAAGCTATCCAAGTTTGGCAGATTGTTCCACTCATCTACAGCTTTGTTGCTACAAAAGTACTTTTCTTTTTTTTTTCAATAAATTGGCCATCTCCCACCGAGGCAGGGTGACCCAAAAAAAAAGAAAATACTTTCATCATCATTCAACACTTTCACCTCACTCATTCATAATCACTGTTTTTGCAGAGGTGTCCAGATACAACAGTTTAGAAGCACATATAAAGATATATAACATATCCCTCCAAACTGCCAATATCCTATACCCCTCCTTTAAAGTGCAGGCATTGTACTTCCCATTTCCAGTACTCGAGTCTGGCTATATAAAAAATAACTGGTTTCCCTGAATCCCTTCACTAAATATTACCCTACTCACAATCCAACAGCTCGTCAAGTCCCAGAAACCATTCATCTCCATTGCAAAGGTTAGTGGACGAGTTTGGGAGGGTGTGTGAGGGTAGAAAGTTGAAAGTGAACATAGATATGAGTAAGGCGATGATGGTATCAAATGATTTAGATAAAGAAAAATTGGATATCACATTGGAGAGAGGGAGTATGGAAGAAGTGAATGTTTTCAGATATTTGGGAGTTGACGTGTCAGCAGATGGGTTTATGAAAGATGAGATTAACGATAGAATTGATGAAGGAAAAAAGGTGAGTGGTGCATTGAGGTATATGTGGAGACAAAAAAACGTTACCTATGGAGGCAAAGAAGGGAATGTATGAAAGTATAGTGGTACCAACTCTCTTGTATGGGTTTGAAGCTTGGGTTGTAAATCCTGCAGCGAGGAGGCGGTTGGAGGCAGTGGAGATGTCCTGTCTAAGGGCAACGTGTGGTGTAAATATGCAGAAAATTCGGAGTGTGTAAATTAGGAGAAGGTGTGGAGTTAATAAAAGTATTAGTCAAAGGGCTGAAGAGGGGTTGTTGAGGTGGTTTGGTCATTTAGAGAGAATGGATCAAAGTAGAATGATATGGAGAGCATATAAATCTGTAGGGGAAGGAAGGTGGGGTAGGGGTTGTCCTCGAAAAGATTGGAGGGAGGGGGTAAAGGAGATTTTGTGGGCAAGGGGCTTGGACTTCCGGCAAGCGTGAGTGAGCGTGTTAGATAGGGGTGAATAGAGACGAATGGTTTTTGGGACCTGACGAGCTGTTGGAATGTGAGCAGTGTGAAGGAATTCAGGGAAACCGGTTATTTTTATATAGCCGGACTTGAGTACTGGAAATGGGAAGTACAATGCCTGCACTTTAAAGGAGGGGTATAGGATATTGGCAGTTTGGAGGAATATGTTATAATCTTTATATATGCTTCTAAACTGTTGTATCTGGGCGCCTCTGCAAAAACAATGATTATGTATGTGTGAGGTGAAAATGTTGATTGATGATGAAAGTTTTATCTTTTTGGGGATTTTCTTACCTTTTGGGTCAACCTGCCTCAGTGGGAGACGGCCGACTTGTTGAAAAAATTAAAATGAAATATATTGTACATTTGGTTATTGGTTTGGTGCTTAACTTAATGATGATGCTTGTTTGAGTTAAACTAACTAGTTTCCCTGACTCCCTTCATAAATGTTATCTTGTTCATACTCCAACAGCACATCAGGTTACAAAAACCACTTGCCTTCACTTAGTGATCTGACACCTTCATACAAGCTGGTATTGAAGAGTTTGCTGAGATTTTTCTCAAATACAAAATATATTTCTTATGTTTATTTTCATTAAACCTAATGCCAGTTTTATTTTTACTCTTAAGGAGTCTCACTTAATTCATTTTCTTTAACAGGGTCATCATTTTGGTTAGGTCTTTAAAAAATGCCACAGTATATACAGTGGACCCCCGGTTAACGAACTTTTTTCATTCCAGTAGTATGTTCAGGTGCCAGTACTGACCGAATTTTTTCCCATAAGGAATATTGTGAAGTAGATTAGTCCATTTCAGACCCCCAAACATACACGTACAAATGCACTTACATAAATACACTTACATAATTGGTCGCATTCGGAGGTAATCGTTATGCGGGGGTCCACTGTATTTTTCATAATGGACTGCTCATAGGATGGGAGTGGGGCACGTTACACAACTATCACTTAACTTAATACTAACTGTATTTAAATATATTTATTTTTAACACTTCGGCCATTTCCCACCGAGGCAGGGTGACCCAAAAAGAAAGAAAAAGAAAGTATCATAAATAAATAAATTTTGCACTGAAATTATCCTCATGAGTATTATGACCATTAAAATAAATAAATTATTTATAAGCAGCAGAAAAATGCAGTACTCATGTTTTTTAGAATATGACTGTAAATCTTGATATTCAGTGTATGATGACTTCGTAGATCTGTGACGCTTCAAGCTCTGAATGATCGTGAGCGTGATGAATGGATGCTGACAATTCACAACCTGGCAAAAGATGGTGGTTACATCAAAGATGAGAAAGCTGCCCCAGCTTCCCTCTTCTCGGGTGTGGGACAATTTTTTGTAAGTGCTCAGTTAACATTAATATTTTGATCATAGATAGTCAGGAGAGTTTAAAAAGAAACTGTAGCTCAGGAACCAAGGATATGGGTTGACCAAATAAACATAGAAGGATGCTCTTTATGAAAGTAATGAATAGTATTTTTATGTAGAAATGACAATTTTTGTATAATTAAATTAATGCCTCCAACAGGCAGACAAGTTCCATGCTGCATCTGCTGCAATGGGTTCAGCTCCTTCTACTCCAACTATTGCTACATCATCTACAACAACATCATCAAGCTCATTGGCCACAGCAAGCAGTCCACATGAAGCACCCATCCCACCTGATACTCCTATAGTGTTTGATCTGCTCACATCACCTGAAGAAACTACCACGCTTAATCTTGAACGGTTAGTTTGAAAAATTTAGGCTGTGGTGATATTTGTTCTATGAACTAAAACATTTGTTTTGTTGCAGTAGAACTTTAGTCCTATGAAACATATGAGTTAACTATAGGAAGTTGACCACTCCTTATTTACCTTTAAATGAATAGAAACTTTATCATTGTTTTATTGCTCGAAAGATGCTACTGACTTAATAATTAATTCTTATGTAATGAATATGTAATTGCAGTGATGAGACTCAGAAAGACAATGCAAGTGAGGAAAAAGGGCATGATAACAGCGAAGGAAGCAATTTCTTCATTGTACGTTTCCTTGGCTCCATGGGTGTTAATGTGGACAAAGGTAAGTCTTCTTATAGAATTGCTCTTTTGAATTGCTCAGTTTTACAATCAGGAACAGTTTAATGTATGACAAGAGCACATCTAGGAAATACTTATGATTGATGTTCTACTAGTGGTCTGCATTTCTGATGCCTTACCGTGGAGCTTCCATCTGAGGAAGATGACAGAGAAACCTCCAGGCAGTTTTATTTAAGCATTGTGTTTTTAGCCTTTTCTATTCCCTTTTATGTTCTCAGGAAAATTTTCTAGTATTCTTTACAGTTTCTCATATCTGTGAAGCTGGTTCCTCATCAGTCATGCTTATCACCTTGTACTTTCCTTTTGTACATTTTCCTCATGATCCAATCATCGGTCATACTCTCCATATACCCAACTGGCCCATACTACAATTTTATTATTCACTGCCCTCCCACATCTTCCATACATTTTCCTATCTAACTTGCATTTCCTTTTTCATTGAATCTTTTTATTATTATGTATTACTGATAGAGGGTTTTTTCACTTAGGGTGGGAATATTAGTGAGCCCACCACATAAGATTCGGGTTCAGACTTGGCTATATTCCTCCTAGGTAGAGCAGCCTTCAATAGAGGTATAGACATACTATACTGGATGTACATCCTTCACCTCTCCTTCCCCATCTCTCCCTTCCATGGTTTATTGTTATTGGATACCATGTGCAACCTGTGGTGTCCACCTCATTAGTTATACAGTTATAATCTTAGGTTGATATATGTTCCTGAAATTAATCAGCTTATGTATTTATGGGGAAGTGCTCATCCCATTTTGATTATGCAGCACCTGAGGATTTGAGTTTGATTCAGGGAAGTATAACTTGATACTGGTGCCCTTGCTTCTTCCTCTTGTCAGGGGATTAACCCACTAATTTGATGTAAAGTGTAGGCAAGGGAGAGAGGTTATAAAATGTTTGGGAATATTTAACTTTGATGCCATATCCTCAAGTTTTGGGGGAATTTAAATGAAATTATAAGGTAAACTAACAAAATTATTAGCTTTGTTGCTTTTTTAGAAAATAGAATAAATAATTTCAAGCTCATGCCATATTTATGAAAATGTTTTCAAATCAGCATGTTAAAAATATATGATTTTTGATTGTGAGTAGCAATACAAAATATCCTGGATGATGCTTTGAAATTTGATGATGTATTCCATTTGTGCTCCTTTTGTTACTTTGTGTCAATGATAAGCAGTTTTTATTTCAACATTTTCATTGCACTTTTTCACATGATATTGATTTTTTATATCACCTTCCTTTCAGTTATTACTTTCATAGATGGTGAGTGATCTGATTTAGTTGTATTGTCTGCTTTAATGCGACCTGTACTTTAATTACTATTGAGCACCTTGTATTGCACTGACAAGTTCTTGTCAAAAAGTATTAAATTGAACCAGTTTTCATACTGTAATTTATATCCTAACGTACTTTATAAGTTGATGGTAGAAAACCCATTTTAAAAATTTGCAAATGTAGATTATTTTTATTTTTCATGGGATATCCCACACCTGTAGCTTGTTTGTATTGCACCTGGGGAATGGGAGGTATTCAGATTTGATCCAAGCAAGTGGAGCAGATCTCCAATTCCTTGAATCTAGAGCCCTGTGCTAGCATCAAGGTCTCCTTTAAAGGGTGTAAGGTAGATGAAAGTATTATCAAAGATGCAGATAGTTATCACCAGCCTAAGGTACGTGTTTCGACAGATTTGTAATACTGTAGTAGTAGAACAATTCATTTGAAAATGTAAAGTATGTACTTAGATATAAATACGGTTTAAAGTTGTTGCAAAATATTAGTTGTTATAATTTTTACAAAAGGTCATATTATTCACAGCATTTTGGGAAATGTAATGCTAATTACTATTAAAATGATAATTTTTGCTATTCGAAATAACTGTTCAATTGGTAATTGTATAAAAATATTTCCTTATTTGGAAATAAGTAATTTATTTTTGGATGACAGTTACAATGATAAGACTAACAATAATCATAACAAATAGGGCCATAATACTATGCTCCTTTAATAATACAGTTGGTGCTTTTATTTGTAAGCAATATTAGTTGTGATGTTTTCCAAGACACTATAAATTTTTATTAAGATTCATAACTTCAAGAGTAATTCTAAGATACATACCTCAGGCATAATTATTAGCAAGATACTGTCCTTACAGAACTTCTGGAATATATTTGCAATTTTAAGGAGGATAGTGAATTTTGCATTTTATCTAAAGTATGAATACTTTTGTTGGAATAACTACTTCAGTCAAACCAATTTATTCTCAGTGGAAGGTATAAGTTATATTAGTAATGGTTGATACATGCAAATGCTTCCTAGCGGGGTGTTACATGAAGTTTAGGCAGTGTTCATTTATTGTTTTTAATTAGTGAATATTGTGCAAGTTCTGACTTGCTCCTGGTAACCCACATCCTATTTTAGGACCCTTTATATGCACAAAGTTTGTTTGCGTTGAGTCATAAATGTGGCTTGTCAGAGTTATTTATTTTCTGTGTTGAACCAGTGAATTCTATTTGAGCCTTCTAGAAATAACTTGGATCATGGTTAGAATTGGTGTAGGGTATTGTAGATGTTCGAGTTTGTAGATGCAAGAGTGCACATGATAATATTTGAATGGCTTGAACATTTAGTATTAGAATTTAACAGAGGATGCTATATTTTGTTTGAAGTTGCTGTTGTTAGGGTCCTGATTGCCAATTCTTGCTTTTGTAATAATTGGCTTGATAGTTTATTGTTGAATTCCCCAAGATCACATGTGTTCAACATGATATTGGTGTATTAGCGAGTTGTATAGCATTAGTAGAGTAGAACTAAGCATGTAATAGCAAATCTTAAATGTATTTTACAGTTTTCTATGTCTTTGTAGTTAATATTAGCTATGGGAATTTGTTAAAATACTGTGTGTGAATCTGGAAATTTGGGTGTTATTAATACAGTGGACCCCCGCATAACGATTACCTCCGAATGTGACCAATTATGTAAGTGTATTTATGTAAGTGCGTTTGTATGTGTATGTTTGGGGGTCTGAAATGGACTAATCTACTTCACAATATTTCTTATGGGAACAAATTCGGTCAGTACTGGCACCTGAACATACTTCTGGAGTGAAAAAATATCGTTAACCGGGGGTCCACTGTACATTAAAATGTATTGTATTAGGTTTGATGAATTATTTTTTTAATATTATAGTTTTTTCTAACCCTTAACCCTTTGAGGGTTTCGGCTGTACTAGTACGGCTTATGACCCAGGGTTTTTGACGTACTAGTACGCCTAAATTCTAGCGCCCTCAAATGTAGTGGGAGAAAGCTGGTAGGCCTACATATGAAAGAATGGGTCTATGTGGTCAGTGTGCACAGTATAAAAAAAATCCTGCAGCACACAGTGCATAATGAGAAAAAAAAACTTTGATCGTTTTTTTGGAATAAAACAGCGACTTTGCACTGTATTTTCGTATGGTATTTATTGTTGTATTCTAGTTTTCGTGGTCTCATTTTATAGAATGGAAGACATATTACAGAAATTCAGATGATTTTGACTGGTTTTACAATAAAAAGTACATTGAAATTGAGCTCAAAGTAGCAGAAGTGTTCGATTTTTACCAAAGTTCAAAAGTAAACAAATCATGCCAAGCGTCCAATACACGTTAACTGGTGAGTCTAATATTCTTTCGCAAGTGCGCCAATATTATTTATACCATTTTTTACACTAATGTAGTAGTCTGCATAACAGTAAATCTTCTATTTTTTGTGAGAATAAAAATTCAAAGTGGAAAGCAAAAGAATATAAGAGGGGCCTTGAGATGTGACTAATGAACAGAGGAAATGTCATTTTAGTGCCAGGAATGTCTTTCTTGTTTGTTCTGGACCCTATTCGGAAATTGGCATCTTTTGAAATTTGTGTGAAATTGGCAAAATTGCTAAATTCTGACCACTGTACTGAATAGTTGAAATTGATAAATGGGTGGTTTCTTGCACTCATTCGATAGAAAAAGTGGAGTTCTAGCGAAATATTCATGTTTTTTGCCGACTAGTACAGTGGAATTGGCCGAAAATGGGGCTCAAAGTGGGCAAAATCGCCTATGCGTAAACATCGCCGAGACCGCTAACTTCGTGAGAGGATAATTCCGTAAGTTTTCCATCAAATTTCAAACTTTTGGTGCTATTATGATTGGGAAAAGATTCTCTATCTTTTCACAAGAGAAAATTATTTTTTTTTTTTTTTAAATTTGGCCGACCCTGAGAACGAGTCTTGGAGAGGGCCTGTTGACCCTCAAAGGGTTAAACTGTCCAAACGTAGATCTACTTTCACTCACGTAGCTCTCCGAACGTAGATTTACATTTTTTTTTTTTACGTTTGAAAGCATGTAAAATAAAATGTAGATCTATGTTCAGAGCACTGTCATAGTGAATGTAGATCTATGTTTGGACAGTTTAAGGGTTAATCTACATTTGTGAGAATAGGCTCTTAACTGATTTTATAATTTTTTTTTTTTTGAAGTTTTTGAGGATGGTGTACTGTAAAGTCAAGATGTTGCTATATATATGTGAACTGTCGGAGGTATGAGAGAGATTGCGTGAGAAAATAGCACGAAAACAACAGTTGACCCTTGAACAACATGGGTTTTTAACTGCACAGGTCACTTACATAAGGATTTTTTCAATAAATACATTTGAAAATTTTTTGGAGGTTTACGACCTAAAAATAAAGAAAAAGTTGGGTAGGTCATGAATACATAAAATACAGTGGAACCTTGATTTACGAGTTTAATCCGTTCCAGGAGCTAGCTCGTAACTCAGTTTACTCGTATATCAAATTAATTTTCCTCATTTAAATTAATTGAAAAGCCATTAATCCGTTCCTGAACTCTGGAGAGCCAAGAAAAAAATACTTGAATATGAGGCTATTATCAACTATACGGCTTATTTGTCTATCACAGTTCATCTAATATGACATAATAAACAATATAATTAATACAGAAACATGATATATACTCTAGAATTAATAAAATAGGCCATAATACAGTGGCAGAGGCAGCAGGGAATATGTCCGCCATTTCCTGTGTGTATATACTGAGAGTATCTTTCCGTGCTCTTATTGTAAGAGAAAACAGAGTATTTTTGAGGCTAACTGCAATAGATCACTATATTTCTAAGGAAAACACTGAAACAAGCACCAAAAACAGTGATAATTTGGAATGTACCGAATGTATCCTTAGATACGTGCACAGTGGCTGGCTTGTAAACACTGGCACACACAGGGCAGTTCAAGCCACACATGGACATGTCTCATACGAATCACATCGAATACTGGATTTTCGATCGGATACCGAGGCAAAATTTTTGCGATATAATGCATTGAATACCGGATTTATCGAATACCGATGCCATTGAATACCGGGGGTCCACTGTACTGTAAATGTGCTTTCTTTTCCTTATGATTTTCTTAATAACATTTTCTTTCTCTAGCTTACTTCATTGTAAGAATACATTGTATAATACACATAACATATAAAATGTGTGTTAATTGACTGTTTATGTTATCAGCAAGGCTACCAGTCAACAGTAGGTCATTAGTAGTTGGGTTTTTGAGGAGTCAAAAGTTATACACGGATTGTTGACTTCATGGGGAAACTGGCACCCCTAACCCCTACGTTGTTCAAGGGGCAACTTTATATCTAAAACATATGGCAATCTCTGGTCCTGAGGCCGATTTAAATACATACTTAGATTGTTAAAATATTATGGGAGGTTGTCAGGTTTGATCCAGAGAATGGGAAGGCAGCTCCAGTTCTTTGGTTCATTACTTTCATCATCAAGGCTGTGCCTTGAAGGGTAAGCTAAAGTAAAGAGTGTGATTTGAAAGAAATAATGATGATTAACTTCTAACCAAAATAAATTTTAACTAATATGTTTTGTGGGAATACTTTGTGGGCTGCCAGATGCAATTTGCCATATGACAGAGCTCTAACTCATTACATTACACCCCTTAAGGGAGGTTCCTTGATGCTGGTAAGGGGCTTTTGATATAAGAAATTAGACCTGTGCTCCAATTCATTGAATTGAGTCTGAATACCTTCCATTACCCCAGAAGCTGTATGATCCATATGGCTTTAGTGCTTTCCTTGAATGTAATAGTAATATTGTATTACAGGAAAGTGAGAAACCACTTCGGCAAATGAAGACAGGTTAGGATGTTTTGTTTATATGGCCTCAGAGACAAACTTCAGCAGCTCATCTGAAGAGGGTCTTCAAGGCCGATATATACAAATCTTGCTTACCTGTATCTCATGTTTCTGTCCAAGTGGTTTATTGCTTTATATCATTGTTTATGACACTTTAATCCAAACACCTATTTTTTGTGTTGTATTGAAAACGAATTTTCCTAATATTACATTCATAGTGAACTGAACCTGTAGGGGTCACACAGTGGCAAGGGATATTGTAAAGCATTCAGACTCTGTTCAAAGAATTAGAGCACAGGTCCTTATTCCTTAGATCAAGAGCCCATCACTAATGTCAAGGAATCTCCCTTGAGGGGTGATTTACCCTAAACAGAGGATGAATGTTTTGAGAATAAGATATGGTATATACTGCGACTAGACATTATTTACAAACCTTTAGTTCACTTTATTTAGACTACTGTTAAAGGTCAAACTTACTTTTTTATGAAGCCGTATTTTTCTCATTTTTATGTGTGATTTCTCTGAAGCTTTGGTTATGTAAGTATTGTAGCAAGATCTTATTACAGTTTAATTTTCAAAAGATGGGGTAAATTTGTTTTGGAGTTAGGTCTGATGGCATGTGACACCAAAATTTATTAATATCATGCTTGAATTGCAGGTAAAGATCTGTGCATAAAGTATTCATTGTCTTTCACTCCCTAGCTATCTTTCCAGAAGTTTATGGACATCATGATATAATGACCCACCGACTCTCTTCCCCACGTGTCTTTCAGAGTACAGGCACTATGCTTTCAAAATGCAAATTGTTACAGGAAAGGGATAAACCTGTAGGAAAGGAGATGGGGGGTCATATAGCACCTGGGGAATGGGAAGTAATCATGTTTGAACTAAGGTATGTAAGGGTACATCTGATTCTTTACATCAAAGCCCTTTACTAGCATCTAGACAACCCTCTTTTAAGGGTTTAGATCCAAAATTCACATCTTAACTAACTGGTAGATATTACTATATTGTGCTCACTTTAACATCAAATATTTTACTCTCCTGATTCTATGAGCTGTGGAGGTGTTTGACCACTTCCACTTGTATGTTCCTTGCTAATGGATGCCAGAATAAGATGAAGTTACTCAAAAAGATATTTAAAGCAGAGAAAAATTTGGAACATTTATAATTATCAGATGCAATATTGTGCTTGATTGAACCCGTGAAAAATGGTGTCTTTTACTTTTACATTAAATGCGGTTTCATTTTTATTAGATACACATTTCAGGTGCTTGAATTAACATTGTACATACCAGTGTGTTGGCAAAAGACTTCGCTATACAATTTGAAAGCTGTTTTTCTTGATCATGCTACAAAAATTATATTTATATTATTTAACCCTTAAACTGTCCAAACGTAGATCTGCATTTACATGCGTAGCACTCCAGCCTTGATTTTTTCCATTTGAAAGCATTTAAAAAAATGTGGATCTATGTTTGGAGCAGTATGTGAGTGAATGTAGATCTATGTTTTGACAGTTTAAGGGTTAAAGATTTTAGTGTACTATGGAGATAAGGTGGCAGGGTGTTTGACAAGATCAAGGTGGTAGTGTTGTTGGCTAAAAGTGTTTCATTGATGTTAGGGGGGATTACCAAGGTAGACGGAATAGGAGAATGCTAATTAATGTTTATTGCCTTGGGAAACAAATGATTGTAGGAGTGTAGATGAGGTAAGTGTCATTTATGGTAATACAGTTGTTGTTTCTTGCTAGGTTAATTTTACTGTAAGGTGTGGAAGCAACCCCTATCAATAGTGATGTAAGAGATTTTCATATAAATTTTAGTACAGTGTAGGATTATATTTAAAGGGAGGACATTTTTGAACTGGTGTATAACAAGCCTCTCAATCTAATTTGAAAATAATAGTAGCAGTTGTAGTTTAAAATCCCCGTTTTAGGATTTGGTTTTAGTTTCTAAGGAAATTTGCTAGACTCACTCCCATGAGGTCTCAAGTTTGATGCCCGTATAGTTCCTCCTGTCTTGTAGTGCTATATGCATGATAAGTGTAAAATTTTGGTTTGTAAAATTTTTTTATGAAAGAATGCACTCTAAACTTAGTTTTTCTTGCTGTTTTCATTTTTGCAAGTTTGTAAGTGGCTTTTAACACCAAGGTAATTACTCTGACAATGGATAAAATGTTTTTATCACATTTGATGGGTTAGAGTATTTGATTTGCATGCCTGCTAGTATGTTCTGTTATTACGTATTTGTCTTGACAGCATTTAATAAAACTCTTGCTACAATTGTAACTTCACTGAAGATTTTGTGACAGCAGTACTTTGAATCTGAACTCTCATTTAAGAATGTACAACAGTATTACTGTATGTTGAGAATTATATCTTGAATATGCTTGCTGCATGAAAGTCTTTTGCATTTGTCATATTAATTATATTGCATAAAATTAAATACATCATTAGCAGATGGTTTGAAAAATGTATTCTATGTGCTTAATTTTGGCAACACTGTTTCTCTTCCAAATGTTAAATTATCCTTGAAGGAAGAAAATATTAGCTTGTAGACTTTATTACTTTCTCGGTATTCTGAACGTGACCTTGGTGTATGTACGGTAGAACCTCGGTACTCAAACAACTCTGTACTTGATTGTTTGGTCAGCACTCGACCAAACAAACATGACCTGATAGAGCTTTGCTGTAAACTATTTCATGTTTCTTTGCATTTTTTTTGGTGTTTTTTATATTATTTGTATAAATAAGTCACCATGGGGCTTAAGAGGGTTAGGGGTAATAGCTACCAGAAAGAAAATTGGTTTGGAAAAATTCGTTTTGTACTCAGATCGGCACTCGAACAGCCTTCTGGAGCCAATTAGGTTCGAGTGCCGAGGTTCCGCTGTACTTATGGGAGCATATGGCACTGCCTTTCATGGGTGTCTGCTGGGGAAGTTCTGGGGAAGCAGTTGCCTCCTCTAGATCAGGCTTGTTAAGGGAAAGCATCTGGCTTTTCAGTCCCTATGTTTTCGCATCCATGGGAAACCCTTACCTCCTGAAAGTCCTTGACCCCTGGAAAAGTTCCAGTGGATGCTCAGATTTCTTTTACATCTGAAGGCAGTTATTAATTTTATTATCTTTTATTCTTGTATTATTTACTTCATCTTTTGCTGTTCTCTGGCATTTGTAAATTGGACAGAATTATTGCAGAAACTTATGGTAATAACTGAATATTATGCATGTTAATTTATTTTAATAGATAGCCTAAGCAAATATTAATTTATATTGATAATTTTATTAAAGTAGGTACATCACAGGTGCTCTTTTTAAGCTTGTGTAGAATTCCTACATCAGGGGAATATGGCATCAAGGGTAAAGAGGATAAGGTACCTTACCTAATATGACATAAAGGGTAGAGAGGATGACTAGGTCTCTTACCTAATTAGTTGTACCTAAAGCTGCTTATAGCATAATTACTATATCTTTAACTGTCATGTCTTAGAAGTAAAGTAGGTTACACTGTGTTGATTCCATCCCATTTCTTGTGGAAGGAGGCACAGGATACTGTAGTGTCTCATCACATAGTTTGTATAATAGAGAGAAACAAGTGTTTAAGTTTGGCATGATTAATTTATTAATTTTCTATTTATTTCACTGTTCTGAATCATAAGACAAGTAGAAATTAATATTTTAGTATTTTTGGAGCTGTTTAATTTCATCTATTTGCAAAATGTTTTTAATGCCATATCTAGTTGGTTTCAAGGTTTACTTTAAACTACTATTTTTTTTAATACCAATTGCAAATATGTGTTTAATGATCAGTTTAAACTGTATATGTAGAGGGAACATGTTTAAAACGTGAAGTGAGAGGCATAAAATTTATGGGTTAATCATAACCTAGCCAGTTTTTACCAGCCTTGCAAAGATGGACTTGTAGACTGTACTTAGCTTTTTGAACTTATCTATGAGAATTTGTAGTGTGTGAGCTCATAATGCTGGGTCACCTCCAAACTTTCAACTGTATGATGTGAAATAGTTTTGTCATTTGTAGTTTTGAACCTTTGTATGGAGTCTGCTTCCATTGTTCATTTCATTCTATTTTTTTAATGAAGTGTTTCCAAATATCCCTGTTGCTCATTAGTGTGTATAATTTCACATCTGTCTGTTTTACATTCTACCCTCGTAAAGAGCTTCTCCATGTCTACCCTGTCCTAAAATATTTTGTATGTTGTGCATGAGTGCATGCAAGTGTGCATATATGATAGATGAATTTGTATGCAAGTCTTGGTAAATGCCTGGGTGCACATTTGTGTAGGTATATTTACATATATATACCTTATAAAGTTATAAGTGAATGAATTTTGGTTTAGTAAGCATCACTTCCCTCTGCTTTGATATAGAAATTTGACTATTGAGGTTATACAAATTATGTAAGCAAATAATTTAAAAGTATCTAGAATATGGTATGTATTTTGATGTAGAGTAATTAGAATTGTACATTAAAGAGTTATGTATCCCACAGGCCAAAGTGTAGTGTGTGAGGTGATGAGGAGGATCTTGGCAGCTCGAGCCATTCACAATGTTTTCTCCACCAATGAGCTGCGACTCTCAATTTCAAGCTCATATTTGATGCTCTCTGATGCCACCACCAAAGCTCTTCGTTTGCAGCACAGCCTGAGTGATGTGGCTTACTGGGCTACGCATAGTGAAAACCACAAGTAAGGAGTCGAGGTGTACTTTGCATGTATATAACCTGTAAGGGTGTCTCATCAAATGCCAAACACAGTTATCATAGTGAGTTTATGCCACCTCTTGTCACACATCCTAAATAGTCATTGCTGCTTCTGAACAATTCATCATGCCATCCCCTTCTGTTGATCTTTGTACACATGTTAAGAGTATTTTTTCCCATACTTTTTTTAAACACCTGGCTCTCTAACCCAAGTAGGGCGACTCAATGAAGCATAAAACCCTCATTGTCACTCAGTCACTGTCTTGCTTGAAACACAGTGATATTACAGGTCAGGTGACCCTCCAAAATGCAACATCCCCACCCCTCCTTCAGAGTGCAGGCACTACTTTTCACCACCAGGACTCAAGTCTGGATAGCCGGTTTTCTCTGAACCTCTTAATAAATGTTACCTTGTTCACACTCAGACTGCATGTCAGACCACAGAAACACTTTACTTTCCCTCACTATTATCTAACTATCATCTGCTAACCCTCTAACCTTTCCTAGGATGACCTTGCCCCTCTTCCTCACCACCCCAGATTTATATGCACCATCTAGTTATCCTGTTTTTCTCCAGTTCTTCTAAATGTGTAAACCACCTCAACAACTCCTCAGCCCTCTGAATAATACTTTGTAGTAACTCCAAATTCTCTGCATGATATTCACACCATACATTACCCTCAAACATTTCATCTCTGCTGCCTCAGCATTCTTCTCACTGCAACATTTAGAACCCATGTTTCATACCCATACAACAGTGTTGTTACCACTATACTCTGGTACATTACCCTGTTGCAGGGGTTGGCAACCCCCGGCCCATGGGCCACATCCGACCCGCATGAGGTTTTTGTCCAGCCTGCCAACTTAACATCTGGACACTAATTATCTAATTAGTATCGAATGCAGATGCAGTAGTTTACTTCAAGGTTAAGCAGTCCCTGGAAAAGTTACTTTGTATCATCTCTCCTTAGAGTTTTTCATTTGAGTTTGTTGTCTGGTGGTAAAACAACTGTACAGTAGGTATCTGCATTCGATAATAATGTTTATTTATTTGTGATGAATTGTGTTATGTGTTAAGTATTATTAGAATTAGGCCAAAATTGGTTTAAAAAACTAATAGCAACCCTGAGTTTGAGAAAGTTATTATATTACATTTAATAACATGGCCCTCCTCCGAGAGACTGCATAGCTGTCTGACCCTCTCTCCAAAAGGTTGCTGACCCCTGCCTTATTGTCTCCACACATACCTCAGTTCACAACCCACCTTTTTTCTGTTATCAATTCTGAGTTCACCTCATCTCTTATAGAGTCATCTGCTGACAAGTCCACTCCCAGCCATCTGAGCACATTTGCCTCCTCCATTCTCCTTCCCTCCAATCTGATATCCAGTCTCTAATTGCCTGCTCTTCACAATCTCTCAGAAGAACCGTGTTATCAAAAAACAATTGGGATGGCAACTACTCCATACCAGATTTATCATCTGTCAATCCCACACCTATCCTCAACACCTTAGCATTCACTTCTTTTACAACCCCATCTGTAAATACCAGTATGTTAAACAACCATGGTGACATCATGCACATCCCAGTCTAAGGCCTAACCTGAGCCTTTCTATCCACACACAAGCTTTGTACTGCTTTAAATAACCTACCACCTATTCCATACATTTACAACATTACTTCCCTATTATATCCTTATCTAATTCCATAAATGTAATGAAAGTTCTGCTTTTATTCAAGTATTGTTAACACATGGTCTACACATCCCTTACCCTCCCTAACATCTTTTTCTGCAGTTCTACTCTCTGACTTATCTGTAATCCTTTCAGTAATAACTATTGTACTCAAAATATGTACTTTTTTTCTTTAACTCACACGCTACCTCCCACTGAGGTACCATGGCCCAAAGAATGGAGCATTCACAATTATTCATTCAGTATTTCAAAGTGGGGCTTGAACCCTTTGGAAGTCAGTCCTAAAACTAGCAGGCCAGTGTGCTATCCAGTGTACCATGCTTGCTCAATAAGATTCACCAATCTAGTTGCAGCACATAGATTGCCTTGCTATGAATTTGAACCACTGTCCATTCAGTTTTTTTTCTACAGTCATGTCATGTCATGATCTTTCATCATACAATAGCTTTTTCTTCCTCTAAAATGTTAAGATACCATAATCCAAACAAGTATTTGAACTGCAGTATCTCCACTCCACCTTCCAAATACAAGCACTGCCCTTCACATCTCCAGGACTTCAGTCAGGTTAACAAGTCTCTTTGAATCCCTTCATACACTTTACCTTGTTCTCATTCATGGTATGTTTATCAAAAAGTGCTCTTCCCTGTTCACTCCTATCTTTTACACTCAAGTAAATACTGCTTTGTAGGTAATTAGTGGTTGGAACATTTTTACTAATGTATCATTGAATAATATGCTGTATTCAAAAACAGTTTATTATTATTAAACTATAATAAGGCTAAAGTCTTTTCCAATACTGTGTATAGTTTAATAATAAACTGTAGGATCATTCAGCATTGCAGATGACCATAAGTATTTTCTTAAACTGTCATTGGCACAAGGAAACCTCAGCCATATACATGTCACACCTAAAAATGACACTTGTGATGGTGTAAAGAAATCTTCTAAATATGGCTTCATAATTATATAATTAACCTATACTGAACAATCTGCAGTAAATAACTAATGTAGTGACATGCTTATAAAATTTAAAATAAACAGGAATCAGTTATGAAGCATGATTAATAAATGTTTATTTTTGTATGGCTCACAAAAGTATAGTTAAATGAATCAGTACAATAGTAGGCACAAAAGACAATCATTAATTATGCAAGCCACTTAGGGCAGTTAATCATAAGCCTTGCATGTTACTTAAGAACTAGATGTAGACTATATTAAGCAAGTCTTCTTGTGCTGTTAACTACAGTCATAACGAAGGTAGCTGATGACGAAAGGTCAGTTACAAAAGAATTACACATTTTAAACTGGTTTAGTGGTCTTCAGTTTTCTTGAGTGATTTAATAGATGAAGATACATTAAGTTGCTTAGAATACAATACAAATGAAATGGGACAATTGTTACCAATTATGAATGGGAGTTGAAGGAAGGCTGGAAGAATGGACAGAATTAAGATGAAAGCTGGTTTTCTATGACAGTGTATTGCTGTCTGGAGGTGCTTCTTAATAATAGCTCTGAATCAGTTGGTAGATAGGGGACCTTTCGATATTCAGGCAGAGAATTCCAGATCTTGGGGCCTTTTATGCATGCAGTTTTTACACATGTTGAATTGTATGTGGGGGAATGGGAAATGTCAGATTTTTGTGTTTTGTTATACTCGTTTGTTCTGTTGCAGCTATCAAGGATAAGTTTCAGAGAAGGGTTTATATTCCAATCAATTGTCCACACAAATTTTTTTACACTAATTACTAGCTGTGTTCTATACTGTATTCTGTGATCTATATTATCTATAGTGCTTTGAAAGTTTACAACATATGGGCCACTACTAAGTCTCCACTAATTACTTCAGGCTCGTAGGATATATAGTGCGACAAAGCGAGAGCGGAGGAGCAGATAACACCAGGTACTCGTGCTTTGTGTTCGAGGCAGATGGCAGTGGAACCGATGTTTGTACTGCACTGGGAGTGGCAGCAAAGGCAGCTTATGATCATCTTCTGGAGAAGAAAACAATTGAGAAAAAGAGAAACCAGGAAACAGTCAGTATCTTTTTCAGCTTTTTTAATATGCATTTTGACAAGAGGAAAAACAAATGCAGCAAATTCACTCATTACTAAATTTAAATATTTTTTCAGCTAATGTAGGCATTAATAAAATTTCATTTCATGAAGGTGGAGAAAAAATATCTAAGGAACAAACTTCATACAGAATCAAAAATAGAGTTTCCAAATCTATTGAGATATTGCATTTCCTGTAGTTTTAATTTTTGATAATTATTGATTGCACAAAAATTTTAATTTAGTGTAATTATGAAGATTGAATATAAAATAAAATACACTTGACATGCATTTCAAAACATGTTTTGAACCCTAATGTGTTCCTTTGCACGTGTTAATTTTATTGTCGAAGTTTATATGCATTTATGTGATTTTTCATTAAATTAAAGGTATATTCTTAGTTGAAGAGAAGCAGTATACTACAACAAGCCTTTATTGTAGACAGTGTTTTGCTTGGGATAACAGTTTTGTTGAAAGCTACACCTAAACATTTGCTTACCCCTGGAGTGCCGTGTGGTGTCATGACTCCATGTACTTCTATATCTTTGTTTAACTTTGAATTGATCGAAATCATGGAAGGTGACTGGTAAATGTCCACTCTGTTTCCAGTCGTCTAAGACCACTGGAACAAAAACAAAAAATTAACGACAAGTTATCAGACAGTTCACGCAAAGAATAAAAATATTTTACCTCAACTATATGGCAACTTTTCTGGTGTAATGTTGCTGTATAACCCTTGTGGTTTAGTGCTTCTTTTGATTATATAATTCTGGTGTAGTGATCCATTTAAATGTACACGCAAGCTTTGTAAATACTGTACTATCATTCAACAGTATACAGTATCATCGTTGACAATGAGTGGTCTGATTTACTGTATTTAACAAATGAACAGTTTAAATATTCGAAAGTCAAGGGCAGTCATTTTCTAGTTGGGTGCCATGCTTAGTAATAGCTAACAGTCCCCCCAAATATGTTATCAACGTTTTTAGGTTCCATAAAAAAATACCAAATTGTTAAATATTGTTTGTAATGCTTGCCAATTATTAGTTTTTTTTTTTTTTTTTGAGTAAATATATGGCAAGTAACTGGCATTTTGAATACTACTACCTAAATCACACTATTTGAGAAGAAAAACTGCTTCATTTCAAATACTGTGCACCTGATGCCTGGGTAAGAATTGTTAAAAATAATTTACAGGAACATTTATTTCATATTTTCTCTACTCGCACAGAAATAAAGGTTCTCCTATAATGTGAAAGATATTAATATATTCATGGAATATACTAAACTCAAAAGGTTTGGCACTGCTGTGAAGATAAACCAGTTTCATACACAACACTTGCACATGAAGTTGCTGGGTTACTTATTTCCAGCAAAATGTAAGACTTCATTCTTTGTTTTCTGAAGTGTATGACACAAGGTATAAGACAGTGGCAAATTTGAGAGACAAGCATATTTGAGATGTGCAAGTCTTGGAAAAATTAGGTAGTGGAGCAGAGCGCTAAGCCTTGGAATGAGCATCACATGTTTTATCTTGGTACCTGTATATTGTGAACTAAGAGATCCAGTGTATGTGCTATAATAAGAGAAGGTAAATCATCAAAACTAAGCACTAAACCCACAAGGGTCATACAGCACTGCAAGAGAGAAGGTGAAGTTAATTATAATGGAACCCTACAATTCATCCAATGTTGCACAAGGTGAAGAGATTTACATTAATTTTGGCTAGCTCTTGCTGTATATACACGTCTCTCAAAGTAAGGTACCATTAATTGCTCTCTAATATATTTACAGAAACTCTTGTTAGCCAATATAGCTCAACTTCCAGACATCGATGATCCCCCTCAAGTGAGCTCTGATGGCCAGTTCCTCATCCTTGATGGCGATTTGACCGACACTACTCCAAAGACATCACCAGTTCCTACTCGTTGCAAAGAAACCACACCAGTTCCTGACCCTGTAGTGGCTGGTGATGGACAGGATCCAGAAAGTGAAGCTTAGCATCCTTGTCACTTGAGTATTACTAGGCTTTTAAAAGCAAGTGTGTGACAAAGCTAAGGTTTAGTTATTTGAGACTGTTCACCATATAAATTACTTTTTGTTTTATATACAAATACAGTAATGTGGTCTTTTACATTTTAAAATTTATTTTTGAGAAACAGTCTGCATTTTTGTCCTTTTGACAAATAAAATATATTACTAAATGTCTGATATGGAAATCAGGAGGCTTTTAGAGTATCTTAAGGCTAATTTTGTTATGGAAATGAAGCCTTATATATTTACTGTAGTTGGCAGCCAAAGTGTACTTTGCATGCAGGGGTTGAATAACAGAGGCAGGCTTTGTACTAAAGGTGTGCCAAGCTTTGAATTTTATCATGAAATCTTTGAATGGAATTTTCTAGATAACTTTAATGCTGTGTGGAACATTGGTACTCAGCTTTGATACTGTACATGGTATCACCAATGTAATATTTTGCCAAAATGTTTTAAAAATTTAAAAATAAAATAGCTAGATTTTTCAGATTTTGCATTAAAATTGACTAACAGTGAAAGCAATTTATCCACGAAAAACAAATTTTAATCAAAGCTATTAATATTATTACCTATACATACTTAGTGATAATTTCGTTAAATTACATTATAAGGGCATTCACAATACAATAGGGTCCCAACTTATGATGTTGGCGCTTTGAATCCTGTTAATTACTTTTGAATACAGATCTGCAGTTACAATCATTGCAAATATTCAAACAAATTATTTTTTAATTTTTTTTTTTTTTTTAAGAGTTTTTACCAAATGCATTCATACTTTGTCTATTTTCATTTTATGCATATATAGATAGCTCTCATTTGTTTGGTAGAGATTGGTCAAGAACTATAAATTTAGTAGTTATGATTTTCTTAAAGCTGAAATATGTTTGTGTACATTATGAATTTGTGGAGTTTTTTTTTTTGTGGGGGGGATAGAGGTTTGTTAAAACCTGTAGATTAAATACTGTAATTACATTCTGTAGTAGCCACTAACCACTTCCTCTGTACTGGACATGTCCATTTGTGAGGTTCAGGATATCAACTCATGCCACACCTTTCCCCATAGTTATCCTTACCATTACTTTTCCACTATTCACCTAAGCACATTAACCCTCACCATAATAATAAGGGAATGTCAAGCGTATGTAGAGTTGAATTTGATACAGTGCAAGAGTGGGTGGAAGTGATGAAGGGTTGCAGTCCAGCTGCTCTCTCCTGTTACACCTGTTGCCCCATTCCTCCTGTAATACAAACCCAACCACAGCAGTGAAGAAGTGAATAGTGTGTGTAAAGAGTATTTTGAGAGAGAAAGAGTGAGCGAGTGAGTCAGAGACCAGCTCCTGCCTTCCTCAATCAATTTGTACTACACGTCCATCTTTTAGCTCTGTTTTAATTAACTAATACTGTATTATTTTGGGTAAATATTCTTAGTTAAATTGAATTACATGCAGAATATTATGGCTTGGATACACATGACATGGGCATCTCTGGAAGCTCATAGTTCCAAACACCAGACTTGCAACAGTTTTCAGGAATGCATTAACTTAAGTTGGGGCCCTACTGTATGGTGAAAAGAAGATTAACCTCTTCTTGGCTATTAAAATCAAATGTGCTGTAGTACAAATGATTTAAACTTCCTGATATTTTTTGAACTGGAGAGTTTTGTCTTGTAGGTATTATTTGCAATACTGAAAAATGAAATCCTTATAATTAAAAGGTTTATTAGAGAGCAAAGTAAATTGCTTGTTCCAAGTTAAGGCTCATGTAAAGACTAAGATTTAAGATTTTTAAAAATAACTAAGCATTAGACAGCACAATTGGAAACTAGATTGACATAACGATTGTCATTGATTGATGCCTGATATTTGCCAAACTGAAGGCAGTTTGACTTTTTATGCAAGATTGCATGCATATGTTGAAAATATTTGTTATAATGCAAGTTAAGCATGAGACGAATTATCAGAGAACTAAATTTTTATAATTTTATATAGTATATGTATACAGTACAGTATTTGCATATTACAAAAAAACTTAGCTTTCTCTTTATGGAGATTGGATAAGAAGCGAGATTAAATGACCAGTGTCACAACCATTTATGCAATCATACAGAGTCTGTGAAGTAGAGGGGAAAATTCTGACTTTTTAAATTCTCAATACCCGAAAAACACAGTACAGTCTTTACAAGGATGCTGCAGTGATGATTGCATATCTTCTAAATGCTAATAGATATGAGGAAGATGCTAAAGAAAAATGCAAACCAGGTGGTTCTAAGTGTACTTCGGCTCTAATGCAGATACAGATAAATACTGAATATCTTCATACAAGTTTGTGATGAATGTAAAGTGGATGTCATAATAGTGTACATAATCAATATTACAAATGTGGTTTGCCATCCTACTGCAGATGATGCCTAATTGTTTTTCTTTTACATTTGCTTCCCAATATTTTATAATTCATTATGAAATTTAAGATTTATTAGGCATACCCCATGACATTAAGAGTTACCCATAATTATAAAAATAAATAACAAAATGAAATTTTATTTCTTTGCTAAGGTTACAGTGTATGTTTACATTTCATAATTTGATTGGTGCAAAGAAAACCATTATCACGCCGAGGCATTTCGGGCAGACTTAACCTAATACTTATAGACTACTTAAGTCTAGACAGGTGAAGAGTGGTAGAATACAATTTTTTTTTTTTTTTTTTTTTTTAACACACTGGCTGATTCCCACCAAGGCAGGGTGGCCCGAAAAAGAAAAACTTTCACCATCATTCACTCCATCACTCTTGCCAGAAGGGTGTTTTACACTACAGTTTTTAAACTGCAACATTAACACCCCTCCTTAAGAGTGCAGGCACTGTACTTGCCATCTCCAGGACTCAAGTCTGGCCTGCCGGTTTCCCTGAACCCCTTCATAAATGTTACTTTTCTCACACTCCAACAGCACGTCAAGTATTAAAAACCATTCGTCTCCATTCACTCCTATCAAACATGGTCACGCATGCCCGCTGGAAGTCCAAGCCCCTCGCACACAAAACCCCCTTTACCCCCTCCCTCCAACCTTTCCTAGGCCGACCCCTACCCCGCCTTCCTTCCGCTACAGACGATACACTCGAAGTCATTCTGTTTCGCTCCATTCTCTCTACATGTCCAAACCACCTCAACAACCCTTCCTCAGCCCTCTGGACAACAGTTTCGGCAATCCCGCACCTCTTCCAAACTACGAATTCTCTGCATTATATTCACACCACACATTGCTCTCAGACATGACATCTCCACCGCCTCCAGCCTTCTCCTCGCTGCAACATTCATCACCCATGCTTCACACCCATATAAGAGCGTTGGTAAAACTATACTCTCATACATTCCCCTCTTTGCCTCCAAGGAACAAAGTTCTTTGCTTCCACAGACTCCTAAGTGCACCACTCACTCTTTTCCCCTCATCAATTATATGATTCACCTCATCTTTCATAGATCCATCCACTGACACATCCACTCCCAAATATCTGAATACATTCACCTCCTCCATACTCTCTCCCTCCAATCTGATATCCAATCTTTCATCACCTAATCTTTTTATCCTCATAACCTTACTCTTTCCTGTATTCACTTTTAATTTTCTTTTTACATACCCTACTAAATTCATCCACCAACCTCTGCAACTTCTCTTCAGAATCTCCCAAGAGCAGTGTCATCAGCAAAGAGCAACTGTGACAACTCCCACTTAATGTGTGATTTTTTATCTTTTAACTCCACGCCTCTTGCCAAGACCCTCGCATTTACTTCTCTTACAACCACGGTGACATCACACATCCTTGTCTAAGGCCTACTTTTACTGGGAAATAATCTCCCTCTTTCCTACATACTCTAACTTGAGCCTCACTATCCTCGTAAAAACTCTTCACTGCTTTCAGTAACCTACCTCCTATACCATACACCTGCAACATCTGCCACATTGCCTCCCTATCCACCCTGTCATACGCCTTTCCAAATCCATAAATGCCACAAAAATCTCTTTAGCCTTATCTAAATACTGTTCACTTATATGTTTTGCTGTAAACACCTGGTCCACACACCCCCTACCTTTCCTAAAGCCTCCTTGTTCATCTGCTATCCTATTCTCCGTCTTACTCTTAATTCTTTCAATAATAACTACCATACACTTTACCAGGTATACTCAACAGACTTATCCCCCTATAATTTTTGCACTCTTTTGTCCCCTTTGCCTTCATACAAAGGAACTATGCATGCTCTCTGCCAATCCCTAGGTACCTTACCCTCTTCCATACATTTATTAAATAATAGCACCAACCACTCCAAAACTATCTCCACCTGCTTTTAACATTTCTATCTTTATCTCATCAGTCCCAGCTGCTTTACCCTCTTTCATTTTACCTACTGCCTCACGAACTTCCCCCACACTCACAACTGGCTCTTCTTCACTCCTACAAGATGTTATTCCTCCTTGCCCTATACACGAAATCACAGCTTCCCTATCTTCAACAACATTTAACAATTCCTCAAAATATTCCCTCCATCTTCCCAATACCTCTAACTCTCCATTTAATAACTCTCCTCTCCTATTTTTAACCGGCAAATCCATTTGTTCTCTAGGTTTCCTTAACTTGTTAATCTCACTCCATGCCAGAAGTGTCTGTATTAACTAAAATGTAACAAATGTATATGTAACTTTTAGAATTACTACACCTAGTCTTTCAGTGTGTTAACAGGAAATCTTATAGCATCTTGAAATGTATTAGGGTTGCAGTATGGCAGCAACCAATTTTCCCAGGCAAGGTTTAGGGTCATGAGGTTGCACCCTTCAAGTTTGATATACTAATAGAAGTTTCCCCCTTAAGGTCTATTTCCTGGGAAGTTTCCACCCAACTCCAAGTGCCTATTAATTTTATTGTACAGTTCCAGCCTTTTAATGAACAGGAACAAACAATTCATTCTCTTTAGGACAACAAGGAAACACTGACATATTCTACCTTGATTTATAAATCCTTCATGTAATGCTGCATTAATACCCTCCAGCGAACTAAATGTTTCATAAATGAGATGCTTATGCATATATTCTATTGAAATGCACTCAATGTTGAAATGCTTATAAATTTATTATGATTCACTGGCCATTTTCCCACAAGTTAGGGCAAGGAAAAAACACCCTTCATTCAGTAAAGCTAAACCAGTTATGATATTCACAAAATTATACCAGACCTGTGTAACTAAGCCTTTTTAAAGTTCTTGATTATAAATGAATATACGAAGGTAAATAACTAGTTTACATGCTATACAATCGAGATCAAAGAATACAGCCCAAGCAGGTTACCATAGGCAAGGCAGGTAAAATGTCTACTGCATACACTGCTTAAAAGTAATTACCAGTAACTAAAAATTATTTGATGTGCAGTACATTAATAACTATATGCATTATTTTCCCATTACATTACATTTTTGCACATTTTTTAAATGAATATTTTTACCTTGTCTCAGTTTCATTATATAGGTGTGACTTGAACAAATAGGAATCAGAATCTTAGTGGCTGAAAATAACTTTTTCTTAACATTTTATTTATATATATAAAAAAGCACTGCTTTCTTATTAAATTTAAATATATAATATATAGTCGGACTTGAGTCCTGGAAATGGGAAGTACAATGCCTGCACTTTAAAGGAGGGGTTTGGGATATTGGCAGTTTGGAGGGATATGTTGTGTATCTTTGTACGTATATGCTTCTAAACTGTTGTATTCTGAGCACCTCTACAAAAACAGTAATAATGTGTGAGTGTGGTGAAAGTGTTGAATGATGATGAAAGTATTTTCTTTTTGGGGATTTTCTTTCTTTTTTGGGTCACCCTGCCTCGGTGGGAGACGGCCGACTTGTTGAATTTTTTTTTTTTTTTTTTTTTTTTTTCCCAACAAGTTGGCCATCTCCCACCGAGGCAGGGTGACCCAAAAAAGAAAGAAAATCCCCAAAAAGAAAATGCTTTCATCATCGTTCAATACTTTCACCACACTCACACAATCACCGTTTTTGCAGAGGTGCTCAGAATACAACAGTTTAGAAGCATATACGCATAAAGATACACAACATATCCCTCCAAACTGCCAATATCCCAAACCCCTCCTGTAAAGTGCAGGCATTGTACTTCACACCTACCATCCGACTTACGACCTGCTCGAGTTACGACGACTACTTACGACCGTGTTTTTTATGCCAAATTTCTGGGAAATAAACAAGTGTTTGTGTTGTACACAGTGTTTATCCTAAACCTTACTGTATAAAATACAGCACTAACAGCATAAAAAGTAATGTAAAACATGAAATACCAAAATAAAACAAAAGTCATTACAAAAATGTTATGTTGATATTCAGTAGTAAAGTTAGACTTACGACCACTTCGACTTACGACCGGTTTCTCGGAACTGAACTCTGTCGTAAGTCGGATGGTAGGTGTACTGTATATATATTTTTTCAACACATCTGTCATTTCTTATCAAGGCAGGGCAACCCAAAAAGAAAGAAAATCACCAAAAAGAAAATACTTTCATCTTCATTCCACACTTTCACCTCACTCATACATAATCACTGTCTTTGCAGAGGCGCTCATATACGACAGTTTAGAAGTCCCTCCAAACTGCCAATATCCCAAACACTCAAACTATATGGGTTATTTGGTGCTACATTTTGTTTTATCATAAAAGTTTCACCATTACACAATAAAATAATACTTCACTGTTCTTGTAGAAGGCCCTACTTATTTTTATATTACTCTACCTCCTTCAGGAGGTGTTTTGATGCTACTGATGGGCTCTTGTTCCAAAAGAATTTCAACTACCTTTCCATTATCTAAATCGGGATACCTCCCAGTCTATAAATGCTGTGTGACCCCTGTGGGTGTTCCCATAAATATTATATATATCAACACAGGTGACTAGAACCAACAAATGTATAAAGACATTTACCGTGTATGGGGAACTTATCTAGGTGAAGTTTTGCTCACCAGGAGCTTTTAATCCAATACTGAATGCTCAACATTAAGTCAGAATATATAATCTGGAGGAAGGTGAGGTATGGTGAGGTCACGTCACTTAATGGCCAAAGCTACCTGTGTTTTACACATCTGTATTGCTAAGACATGATTCTAGTTAAAAGACATGTACAGGCACTGCTATGATGATTCTACCTGGCAGTGCCTGTACAAAGTCTCATGATGCTAGTTAGCAGTACCTGTACAGGTCTTATGAATTCAGCCATATTCCCATTCATAAAATGTTAATTAATGTTTTTATAACATGCATTATATAATTATTGTTAAAGTGGCATAGATACTTATGATTTTTGATCCTCATGTCTAGGTCTCACTGTATCCCCTCTATACAATTTAATTTTTCAAACTTCACATGAAAGACTACTTTGGCTCTGGAAGTTCATTAGAAGTCTTACTGGTGAAGTCTTAGATGCTGGTACTGGAGATAGTGCTCACTCAGATTTCCCCAGTTAGAAAATTTTTCAAGATATTGCCTGCATTGGAGTTTGGAAAACTGATGAATCTGCTTGGAAATTTGTAAACTTGTGTTTTTTTTTTAATATATGCTGTTCTCTGCATTTATAATCTTAAATGAAACAGGGAGGTGGGTGAATAAAGTGCAGCTTGGTGGAAAAAAGTTAAATATACTTGCATTCCTCTACAAGATATTCTGGGCTACAAACCTTTAATTTCTGAAGAAAAACTGACTATCACTTTTTTTTTTAGGGTCATTTTGCGAGTAGTAATGTATTAAGCCACCTGTTATCAGTTTGCAGTAGCATATGTTAAAATTCAGTGAGATACGACTCAAAATTGTAATGACACTATTGCAAATAAACCACGGTACAGGCAGGGATGGAACTCGCGGCTAACGAGTTGTAAAGCTCCAGATTGATGCATTAACCACTGGCCCAGCTGGCTATAATAAAGATTCGTCCAGCGGCTAGGGAGTTTTACGAATCACTAGTCGTGAGTTCAATCCCTGCCCGTACCATGATTTCGGCGAGATATCCAAAAACTGGAGTTTTCAGTCCTGTTCTTCCTCCAGCTGGAATTTAATAAAGGCTCTGTATTGTCTAGATTTAAGCAGCAGGTTGGAAAAATTCATTCTCCTATGATCAATAGTCAAGAATTCAGTCATGTAATGAAGCTATGACACTTGATGGAATGGAAGACCTGAATCTCTGATTTCAAATGTTCCATGGCCCGGGCGCTGTATAATCCTACGGGTTTAGCGCTTCCCCTTTGATAATAATAATAATAATCAAATGTTCCATGGAACACATTCCACAATAGTGGAATAAACTATGGGGAGGTCATTGTTTTATTTTCTTTTGATATTCCAGATATATAGCCCAGAGTACCTTTAAGAGGACAGTAATTATCAGTATATCTCTCCAAACTTCATTTTCACTCCCATTTTGTTTATGACTGTAAACACAGAACACAGCCTATTAAAAAAAAAAAAAAATTAATTCGAAGTTGGCACATTAGGATACTTGTCATTCTCTCATACTCCAATGTAGTCTACATCTCCAGGATCTTCCCAGCTGGGGATCTCAGAGTCACTCTTTAGTACCAGCATTTAAGCACTC